CTGCCTTCGGGGCAAAAGCGAACTCGGTACCTTCTGGGGAAAAGACCGCCGCGGGCAGCGCTGCTTAGGTTTGTCTGCGAAGGAAGGCTCAAATGTGAGCTTTTTTTTTTTTTTTCTGCTTAGATGGCGATTTCTGTTCAGTGGGTATTTATTTGATGTGCACTTTATCCCGGAGCAAAAGGGCTCAGTCTCAGTGTTTTTTGTTGCCCCCAGCTAGCTCCACCGTAGATGAAATGTCTCACCCTCTCTTCTGTCTCTTGTGTTCTCTCAGGGGCACCGTGGTGAAGAACAGTCCCCAGAGGGCTCTGGTTGCTCCCAGACAGTGGTTTGATGGCTTGTGCCATGTCCCTCTGGTCCTTTTTTCAGGAGCAGGTGAGTGGCATCACAGCGCAATAAGGCAGCGTCCTGCTTTGAGCAGAAAGTGTGCTGGGCTGGAAACCCTTGGGCAGGCCGGGAGAAGGGAGGCTGACTTCCCGGGTCAGGGATGAGTGCTGGCATGTATTGTCTGATTTGGAGTTGATGTCTGTCCTAGCTTTAGCTCTAGAATTACTCTGAGACCCGGGGGGCTCCACTTCCCTCAGGCTGTGTCCTTGGAGCTCTTTCAGTCTGTGGCATCCAGTTGCTGTCCCAGACTCTCACTAAGCGTGAGCAGAAGGGGCACAGTTTGAGTTTTCTCCCATTTGGGCGCTGGGGAGGCAGAGTTCCGGGCCAAATGCTGGTGTTAGAGGAGATGCTTTCCTGTTCTCTGCCCCATGGATACCCCAGTGGAACAGCGTCAGCACGTGCAGGTGGAGAGCAGTGGGGGTGACCATACTCAGCCTGCTGGGTGAGCCTGTTCCCAGTGCCCACATCCTGTTCAGTTGCACCTGCGCCTCCGGAAGGCTTGAGGGGTTGCGGTCACATCTGCCTCAGGGCACAGTGAACAGTCACGGGTTCAGATGGGCTTTCTGAGGCTGAAGCGCAACAGTGATCTATTTTCTGCTGGGACTGTACGTTCCGTTTAGGGTTTGCAGTCGCCATCTCCTGGCAGGTTTAGATTGGATTTGTGTATTCACATACTCCTTAAAATGCTGTAAATGCCACTCTTCTGCACAGCAGTTCAGAAGTTTCTGGCAATCATCACTGGTGGTGTGTGTGCTTCTGTTTTTCTTGTTTGTTGGACTTCCGGGGGTTGTTTTTTTCAGGAGAAGGTGATAATGAGCAGGCTTCAGCTGATACTGTTGTTTCCTGGAATTTGTACTTTCACAGGTTCGCTGTGTCATGAGAAAAACAGGCTCAATAGGAGCATCCCGGCGGGGTGAGCAGGGACACCAGCAGCGAGTCTGTTGTTCAGAAGATGTCAGACCCCAGCAGTGACACTGGACTGGCCTCGGTCAGTGGTGATGCCTGGGGCAGTGCCCCCACCCCTTGAAAACAGGACTTCTTGGCTGCTCAGGGTAGCAGCTGCTGATTGCTTTTGTTCTTGGGGCTTTGAGGTAGTTGGGGTGCCATGTTTATGCTGTTCTAGGGTAACAGTTTTCCAGGGTTATCACGCACTAGTTTTAGGGAGAGCCAGTGTTTTTGGGTGCCAGGGTTACGGGGGTGTAGCTTACAGTGAGCTGGCATTATGGGGTTTTAGGGTTACGGGATGCCAGAGTGTAGGTGGCATAGCATTAAAGTGTGTTATTTTTAGGGACAAAATCTGGGCTTTTTTGGTCCTGGATTCCTGGGTTGTTTGCGTGTCTTGCCTTAGTTTATGCTCTATGTGGTTTTTGGAGAGTCCTATTTTAGGTTATTTTCTTTTTAGGGTTTAAATAGGGGCCTCTGGTTTGTGTATTCTTTCTTTTCTAGTTGTTTGGGTTTTTTCCTCTTCTGGTGGTTTATTTTGTGCTTTTTGTCTTTTAACCACTATTTCTGGTCTAATATGCCTGTCCAGGTCGGCCAGTGTCACTTCTGCTGCAGTCGCTCATTTCTGGTGGGAGTTGAGCTGTTTTAGATAGGTTCATGTAGAGTGACTGCCAGATGATGCACAGGCACTTCTGAGGTTTGGGAGGATTTTTGGCCCACAGGTAACGGCTGTCAGAGAGCTGAGTGTACTTCTGAATTTGTGTAGACTTCCAAAGGGATGGTCATTTCTTCTGCCTTTTGAAGAGCCATGGGAAGACACCAGCCTCACACAGGAGGACATGGGTTTCCCCAAGGATATGTGGCTTTTTGCTTTTGAGTAAGAAACCTACAAAGAGGCTGCTGTCATGTAAGTTTTGTGGCCTTTTTTTAAGTCTTCTGTTGAGTACTGCAGGTCTTGAAACATCACTGAAAAAATGGTAGAGGTTTGTCTGTCTTCTGGGTGCTTTGATTTTGAATGTCTTCCCATGGTGGTGATGTCAAACTGTCCTTAGCTCCTGTCTCAAGGCACAATGTGTGCTTATGGCAAGGTTCATCATCCATGATAGTGGATGTGAATCTGTATTTCACATAGACTCCTTGATCATTTTGAATTTGGGGGGGCAAACTTCTGTTCAGTCATCCTTGGGTTTGCCTCTTCATGTAATTGGTTAGGAGCTTGTAGGAGGAGCAGGAGAAGGGTCAGTGTTGCCGTTTCCATGTTGGTCGCTTGTACTGCAGTTATCAGGGTTATCTTCCATCTGCAGGTTCTTTGAAAAAATCTCTTAAGTCATTTTTCTGTTTTGTGAGGGGTAGTGGACTTAACAAGAGACTTGTTATTCCTCACTAGTGCCTCAGGGATTTACCTGTTGGTTTTTGTTTGATTTTTATATGCTGTACTTAATTTAAAAAGCTTTTTGTAGGTCTTTTGGATTTCTGTCCTTAAAGTCCCTCGGATTTCTACCCAGGAGTGGCCAGAAAGGGTGCTGGTACACTGCTGTCAGCCTTCAGTCTAGTGAAATGTCTGGTGGTGGTGAAGGTTTAACAGTGTTATAGCACTGTCAGATGCATCTTAAATAGACAAGCTTTGCCCTGGTTCTTGCTGTGCCTTGGCGATGATTCTCAGCAGGTTGTAAACAGTGTGTTCTGCTGTGCTTTACCGGTTTAAAATAGTGCATCACCAAAAAATAGTGCCTACACAGAGCAAGAACCACCAGCCTCTGCTGCCCTCCACAACAAGGGTATTGGGGCCCCAGCAGGCGACCTTGCACTGCCCAAGGAGGTGTTTCTTGTTTGCTCCCTGCCCAGCCAGGACAGTCCCAGGAGCCTCTCTGTTCTTGGGGACCTGGTGGCACCAGCAGAGACATCCCCTGTGCCATCATTGGCGTACTCTCGCTGCCCATGGAGCTGCTTGCCCCCGACTACAGTGTCCCCAAGCCCACCAATGCCATCCTGAGCCTGGAGCAGTTCAGCACTGTCAGGATGGGGCCCCAGGAGCATGGTGGGATGCAGGGATGGACCTGCCCCCTTCCCAGCCTGGCATGTCAGAGAGGAGGAAGAAAAAGCAGAAGAGCAACTGGCCAAACCACCCAGCAAGCACGGGGCTCTGGCAGCCTGTGCTGGGGTGGGAGGGTGGCAATAGACCCCAGCAGGGATGAGATGAGATGAGATGGCTTCTGGTGCAGTTGAAGGGGGGGGTGGGGAGTGATTGTACATTAGAACAGATTTCTGTGTATTTCAGGTTGTACATTAGAACAGGTGGC